AGGGTCCGCAAACTGTTGTTGTGGCTGCTGCTGATTTCTTGTTTGCTTATTTGCCTCGATTCAATCAACACACACTCCCGCACTCCCGCACTCTCGCACTCACCCACCCACATGCACACACAGTCTGAGCCACAAAGAGCCATAAAAGTAAACGTAGCTCAACTAAATCACGCAACACTTTCTTGCTTAACATTTACACGCATCCAGCTTGGGCAGGCCCTTCAACTCCTTGCGGTTTCTTGTTCCAGCTCCGGGTGCCCACTTATTCTGTGTACGATTTCTTTTGTTGCCACTTGACCCGCGGCAAGCCCCAGCTACAACACTTCAAACCCAGCCCAAGCTCACCCGGCTTGTTTAGTTGCGGTCCTTCGTTTGTGTTTATGTTTATTTGTTGATACAATTTGGTTACATTGTTTGCTTACAATCTCTATGTTCTTCTTCTTCTTGCTCCACCTAGTCGTTCCCGCTGTCTCGTTGCTGCTCTTGATTTTGGTTTGCACATTGAAATCAAGTTTACAACGATTAAGTAGCTGCTAATATCTTTGCCAGCCAAAGCCAATAATAACGACAGCTGAAGAAGAAGTTAACATGTTGTCGATGTTCAACGATTGAGGCTTGCGAATTGACTGGCAATCGGTTTGGTTTGGTTTTGAGTAGAGCTATATTGCTTGCCAAAGAAAAACAAAAAACGTTCTGATTTCAGATCTACAAAAATACTTACTTGCATTAAGTTAGCATAAAGTTTTGGAAGATTTCTTCGACAGCTCTAGACTTTTGTCAGTAGTGTGACTTTTATTTATTATAATACTAATTGTAGTCCATAATTTTGTAATCGATATGAATATATTATGCATTTGAGCTCTCTAATCGGCACTACTTAGAATCAAGTGCTGCAGCAGCTCATGAGGCCTTAATTGTCTGATTCCGATGAATATTAATTTTAGGCGGCAAAGTCATAACAGGCGACTGCGAGTATATGTATCTGTATCTTTATCTCATACTTAGATAGTTGCCGATGTGGTTGCCGCACAACTGTTAATTGAATGTAAATGGCTCCAGCCTGGACTCATTCAATTACCGCACCTGTGGGCCAACAATTTCTCACACATCACACATCTGTGTGTACCTGCACACACACACACACAAAACACGCATTCAGTTTAACAAAATGCGTTTTGCCTCTGCTGGAGATCAAAATCCTGCTTTTGTGTACAGTTGGCAACCCTCAAATCTATGCAAATGCACAGTCAAGTGCTGCAATTTTCACAGCACGATTGTTGTGCGTAGCTCAACATAAATTACCCACTTGAATTTTACACACAAGGACAAACTCGCATACGCCTTTGCACACTCACCAGCACTGGTTCAGTTTCTGGCCTAGAGCTTCAGCTCACAACTTAAGACAAACATCGAATGCTCGAGTACAAGAATTTTGCAAGATTTCAATTTGTTTGATAACATCGCTACAGATACACACACACCCCTCTCCCTCCCTTTCTTCACACTCTTTCACGTAGCTCCTCTTGTTTGAAGCCACTTGGGTGCTGCTTGTGGCAGAGCCTCGCAATTCGTGTCTGAGCCAATTACCAAGGCAACAATACAGAGTTTTCACTGTCAGCCAATTTCAATATGTAAGCTATGCACATTAAATGCTGCTTGAATATTGGATTAATCTTGAAAATAATAATATCTAATAGCTTTTTAGATTTTTATGCTTTTCCATTGCGTCCATCTAAGCCAGTTTTCAAGATTCATTAAAGTTTTACGAGAGATTAATTGTGTTGCTTAAAGCAAACTACACACTTTTTGGCACCCCTGTACATTGATAAGATAAGACCCCATAAGACCCCTGAAATCCGAGCTACAGTCTGAAAGCACATTAAATCTCCTTTGGCTGAAAGCTCAACCTTATTTTGCAAGATTAAGTTTCATTTTATGTGATATCTGAGCAAAAAGCTTTAAAAGCTTAGCTCATAATAATTGTATTCAACAAGCGAAAGACCTAATTTTAGGTTCATATTTTTAAAATCTTTTTGTAGAAACAGCTGAAGAACCTCTATTAAATAAGCTTTAATGTACTTCGCTCTGCTCTTATAGCGGAACTCGAAGTCCCTCTTTCAACTGGTGTCATTGTCCAATCCTCGCACCATCTACGTTGACACACAAATCTCCTGCAATTGGTTGAGTATTGGTTTTGCCTTTGACTCAAATGTCAACGGCAAGCGGCAGTCATGTCCATGCTCATGTCAATGTCTATGGCCTGCAGTGCCTATGCCTGGGAAATTAATTAATAGTTTTGTCTGTGAGTGTGCGACTGTGTAGTGTGTCGATATATGTGCCCGTCCAACCAACCGTAAACCCCAACTCAGAGCATGACTGCGTGTCTGTCCGCCTTAGTATGTGTGTGTGTGTTTGTACCTTAAGCATTTTGGCTTTTGGTTTTCTAAGCACTTTGAGTATATTGTAGATATGGGCACGATTGCTATTAGCGTTGATTGGAGAGGAATCTTTGTTTGTCCGGAATCAGAGAAGCTTAGCCGGCTACGGACCTTGTTGCGGTCACCGGCAATGAGATACGTAGATCTGAGATGATTAGTCGCAAACATAATTGGTATCAGAAAGGGACTAGTGGTTACTATACAAGCTATAAAATAAATAAATATGCATGATTTAATATTTAGGCAGGATTGCCAGCTTAAACATTCTGCTTTGATTACTTCATTTCGCTTAAAGTTTGGCTCAAATAAAACAAGTAAGAGGTTCTAGTCGTGAGCTCCCGACTACGGGATACCCTGAACCCTCTTCTTCCAACATCAAATGCATGTATATATTCTATTTTAGAAGCTATATGTCAAGTTTGGTGACTCTAGCTCTTATTATTTACCAAAATTGCCCAAAAAACAGTATATCGATATCGATTTTTATCGATTGCTTGGAAACGGATCTGCGCGGGAACTAATAGCATCTACATCTAAAATTTCAAGTCTCTAGCTCTCATAGGTTCTGAGATCCTTGCGTTCATACATACGGACGGACGGACGGACAAACAGACGGACATGGCTAGATCGACTAGGCTATTGGTGCTGATCAAGAATATATATACTTTATGGGGTCAGAGATGCTTCCTTCTGCCTGTTACATACATTTGGATTTTGCACAAATACAATATACCCTTATACCCATTTTTAATGGGTTCAGGGTATAAAAATTGAATTGAAATTTCAAGTTCAAGTGGTTCGGTTGAAAACGTTTTGTAGCCTTGTATTTAAGGGGACGCTATATTTTTGTAATATTTTTTTCGAATCAATCAACGATTCAATTTAAAAACATTTTTTAGATACAGTCAGCGAAGCATGAAACCTATATAAAAGTGTGGTTGTTTGCTTTTAGAATGAGTTTTTAATTATCTGACAACGAGTATATTAGGAAAAATTTGTAAAGGGAAGCTTCGACTTATAAATATAAACATCTCTATACACGCATTTAATTATAATTACAATTAACCGCAAAACTTTAAGACCGACGTGTCAAACTGTTTAAGCGCACACAATCAGACACCCACACACTACGCTCACAACAATTAAAACAATTAATTAAGTTCAAGCCCAACCCAAAGTTGGGAGTGAGTGAAACAAGCTAAGCCCAAAATGGAACCCATTTAAATTGCCAATTACAATTGAAGATAGAAGAGGATGGCATAGAAAGTGCGGCACAAGGTGCGAAAGGGAAGTGCAAGTGTCTGGCGCAAAGTGCCTTAAATCCCATAGAAAGCATAGCTTACGCTGCTCTCTCTCTCTCTCTCTCTCTCTCTCTCTCTCTCTTTCTCTTTCTCTCTCTCTCTCTCTATCTTTTTCCCTCTCTCTGAAAGACGTCATGTGCTGGCTGCGGCATTGGCATTATTTCTAACGAGCGACATGATCATAAAAATAAACGCAAATGCAAACACAATGATGGGTGCGAGTGGCTTAGTTTTTATTTTTACACCTGTTTACAAGCACACGGAGCCAAATTTGACTGTGCCAGCACGCACACAATTAAATTTCCGGTAGAGCATTCGACTCCAGGTGTGTGTGTGTGCGCGAGGGTTGATGTTCGAGAGTGTGTGTGTGTGTGAGAGTGTGTGTAACGCTGCCTAAAACACTTTGGTATCCTTGCCAACTTTTTTGAGGATGGCTGAGTAAGAGGGCCGCATGTTTGAGCCATTAAAATTACGCCTAACAACTCTCGTAAAAATTTTCGGCTCACGCGGCGTATGAGTATTTTCATCTCGTTGCTGCACGTTTCATTACAAATCCATGGCACGTTTGCCAGCAGCAGCACGAATAAAACACACACATGCACAATCACACAGAGAGAGAAGGTACAATTTTCAATATTTGGCGAACACACACACAAGGTGGGCGTGGCAGTTGGCGGAAATAATGCGGCGTCTGTCAAAATTGGCAAAATCGTCGCTGTTTCGTTGCCCTTAACTAAAATCAAAGGCGTCGCCTTTGAGTGGATCTCTGTGTGTATGCGTGTGTGTGCTTGTGTGCTTATGCATAGGCGTGCTGGGCGTGGCATTTGTGTACGTGCACCATAATATTTTGTTTGCCTACATGCGACATGTACGTAATATTTACTTTGCTTTTATTATATGGGCAATTGCCAAACACGTCAATAATAATAATAATACAAAAAAAAATAAATTTCGTTTAACTTCAAATTTCAATAATTTTTTTTATGTATTTTTATGATCTCGCCAGGTGTGTTCGCCGTGCAAAGCGTGATAAAATTTTAATTATAATCGCTGATGGTAAATAATTTGTATTTCACATCTGGCACCAAAAATAGCCTGTCTGTCTTAAATGGGCGAAGACAGGACTATATCTGAAGATCCTATTGAGAATATACAAGTGCTTTAATAAATCTTATCTCTAAATATATCTGGCACTTGCGATGTCTATCCTCGCAAGAAATTCGATTCTGCAGTTCATGTTGTAAAAATAGTCAATTATAAAATATATGTAGATGTATTAATATTTTTTAGAAAATTTCCCCCAATATGGAGCAAAGCAAATCAACAACAATGGACACACCCATATGCATATAGATGGGTGGGATAAAGTATAACAATCTAAATAGAGAAGCGAGTCCAACATTCAATCATTCCGGGGGGTACCTGTGTGTCATGGCCAGAGTCAAAAGTGGGGGCAAACTTAACGGGAAAGTGCTTCTTCAGGCAGGTTAGTACCGTACCGGTCAAATAATGACGAGATAGCCAGTGGCATTCGCAGGGCGGAACACAATCGGCACAATTGTTCTCATGTGCCAGCCACTTACTCTTCGTGATGGTGCCGGTCGGCTTAGCCACACCCAGACAATGTAGACGCCACGGCAGAGATATGTCCTGCATTGTCCAGAAGCAATCGCAGGGCGGCATGCAGTTAGCTTGATGAAGAACATCCAACCTAGTTCGCTTAGAGAACGAGTATATATTATAATGCGGCACGAGGCCAACCAGCTCCTTGCCAGTTTCCGATATGGTCTGACTTGTACTGTCTGCTGGGGTCTCCTTGCACGTGTACAACTTATAGCGCGGCACGAGTGCAATCAGCTCGCTGTACTTGCGTTCACGTTCCCGACGTAGCCACATATCGAGCATATCCCAATGATCCAGATTTGGAGAACGTTCCCGTATGAGTTGCATGCGTCTATACAAATCCGAGCGACGAACTGCATCATAGTTGAGGCCCGTCTGCGTGTGCCACAGCAAATAGAGCTCGTTGGGTTTCTCATCCGGCAGCGAAATACTGTGCGAGAATTTCGTCAGCTCAAAGTGAAACAACATTCGAATGCTATTGGTAATGTGCTTTATGTGATCAAAATCCTTGATATTCATCGCCGACAACGCATCAGCGTCCAGTAACAACAACTTTCGACCCCAGATCATATTCACACGAAATGTGCGCTATGTGTTGAGGAATAGAAATCGTAAAAACCCTGTGTCTAATGCAGTACCAGCACCCGTAACTTGGCTACCGCTTTATAGATACTCACCATATACTGCGGATACCCCAGACGGCAAATCCATAGTCGTATGTTCTTGTCGTTCCACTCGTAGATCGATGGCAATGGCAACTTATCGACTACACTAACACATTGCTCGACGAGGGTTGCGGGAGTGACCCGGAACTGGATGGGGCATGTATCACGATCGTATTTCTCGGGGCGTTCGAGTAGATCAATGGTTCGATATTTAATTGGTGGTACCGTAATATGTTTTTTAACCCCTTTCTTCTCCTTCTTAGTCTTAAGCTTGGTATCCGTTATGCCATACAAATAGAACATATTGCTTTGCTTATGCAAACACACACTTCCTAATTCCTTCTAAGTAGATGTTAAGTCTTTATGTGGAAGTTGACTTTTTATGTATGCTTGCTGTTCTGAGTCTTTCAGATATCATTTATCTGGGCTCAGCGATTGCAAAGGCACGGGACACTAAGTTCAGTTTTTTTTATTAAGTTTGCTTTGCATTTGTCAACATTTTCTACTAGTCCAGTCGCCAATGTGCACATAATTAATAAAAGAATATTCTTATCATTGCATTTTTATATTTTAATTCTCAGATTAAGCTCTATAAACCATTTTATTTTAATTTTTCACATTTTACCCACGCCATTGCATTTGAATCCCTCTTATAAAACTGACTTAGATCGCTTATTAGCCTCATAAGAACTTGAGATAAACCCACAATGCATGACGCATCTGAGCATTTATTGAGGTGCTGAATCATCTGCTCACCTGCTGACAGCTGACGCGTCCACGCTAATCTAAGGCAATCTTCAACCAAAAACAAAAAAAAAAAAAAAAAAAAACAAGAAAAAAATGAAATGACAACAGCTCAAGTATTAATTAAACCAACTGAAGAAGATTTTTAATTAGTATTATCTTTCAAGCGGAAAGCAAACACCTGAAAACAAAGGGGGAGAGAAAGAGAAAGATAGAGCGAGGCAGACCGAAAGAGAGACAGAGATATAGACAGTATGAAGTACCTAAATACACTCAAAAAAAATACTTGAAAAATTACTTTCAGAAATACTCAGTTCAAGGTTCGTCTGCACCTCTAAGCAGCCGCGATAAAACTTTGAAATGAAGGGTTTCGATATTTTTTTGGGATTGTCGAGCTCGAGGCCAAAATACAAAATTATTATTATAAGTTGATTTAAAACCAAGATTTATAATCTCAAAGATGAGAACCTTGATCTGAGTTGAAGTCCGAAATGTTATGTGTTTTCGAATACGCTTAATAGACGATTTTTATTAAACAAAGATAATAATTCTCAATCCAAGTGAAGTTGCTGCTTCTTCTTTTAACCTTGTTTTTTATACCCTGAACCCATTAAAAATGGGTATGAGGGTATATTGTATTTGTGCAAAATCCAAATGTATGTAACAGGCAGAAGGACGCATCTCCGACCCCATAAAGTATATATATTCTTGATCAACACCAATAGCCGAGACGATCTAGCCATGTCCGTCTGTCTGTCCGTCCGTCCGTCCGTATGTATGAACGCAAGGATCTCAGAACCTATAAGTGCTAGAGACTTGAAATTAGATGTAGATGCTCCTAGTTCCCGCGCAGATCGAGTTTGTCTCCGATAATCGATAACTTACTCCGTTTCCAAGCAATAGATAAACATCGATATCCATATCCTGTTTTTTGGGCAATTTTGGTAAATAATAAGAGCTAGAGTCACCAAACTTGACATATAGCTTCTAAAATAGAATATATATGCATTTGATGTTGGGAGAAGAGGGTTCAGGGTATCCCCTAGTCGGGAGCTCCCGACTAGAACCTCTTACTTGTTTGTTAATAGTATTAAAATAATATTTAAGATAGATTTTTATTAAATATCTTTTATTAGAAGTTATTTACTTATGTTGCGCACATTTTTAACTTGTTTAATTTTTAATGGCATATAGTTTATAAGTAAACAGATGGACTCACAGAAAGGGCATATAGGTAGAAAATTTTGATGAAATTAATGGAAGCGAAAATATTTTGACATTTAAATATATTTTGTCTGGCATAGTCTGAGGCTCAACAGTGTACTGTAGACTATTCAGTTCCCACGCTCTGTCTACTTTCCGTCTCTTTGCTTGTTTGTGCACTAATGGACTAATGTCAGCAGCTGGCAGGACATTCGTTCAAAGCGTGCAGCTTCCTCTTAAAAGTGTTATGCGAGTCAGGTGCGTTGTGAATTTTGCTGCAACAGTCATTATAATAATGCCACAACGAAGTGTGCCTGGAAATAGTAATCAGATAGAACATCAAGTCCACCTCTTTCTCTCACTCACTCTTACTCTGACCTTCACTCCTTGTCTCGAGCAGTGCTGTTTGGTCGCGGCGTGGGATGTTTCTGATGTCGAGCACTTAAAATTTCATTTAAATATGGCTTTGGCACACACATAAAGGCATCGTTAAATGTGCAATCGTGCGTTGTGGCAGTTGCAATAATCGGTTGAAATAATAACTTTAAGTGCATCATTTTGTAAAGTTTTCCTTAAGCCCAGTTGTTGCTCAGTGTGAAAAGTACGTGTAAAAATGTTGCAGTTCTGAATTTGCAAAGCAATTTTGAAAATTGCATTTAAAGAAGTGAAACTAAATTAGATTTTGATCTTGTTATGGTTGCGATTGGCTTGAAAAACCTGCCCATCATAACGCTCTTTTTCTTCATCGTAAGTCGTAGTAACACATGGGGTAATTGTTCATCGTAGTAGTGGTAGTAATCGTCATCTTGTTTCTCTTCTTTACAGGTATAAACGTAAGTTTTTCATCATTATCAACGAGGTTCTATCCATTTTTCATCGTTATAAGATTAGTCGTGCAGCAGTCGCCTCTCAATAAGGAGTCCACATTTTATTTATAATCAGTCGTGCAAGTATGTTATCCCCCTCAAAAGGGACTTACACACATTTTCAACATTTGTTCTTCGTAACGTTTTCATTCATTCATCGAATTTATTGGCGGTTGTATCTTCTATTTTAACATTATCAGGGCAATCTCTCCTCTTATAAATATTGAAACTTCATTGTTGACTGGACCTTGTCCTTGTATTCCCAATCAGTCTTAGAAGCTAATCTATAATATGAGCCTAATTTAACAATCAAACGACCACGAGATACCTTTTACGAAATGAGAAAGTTGACGCATATTTACAGCTACCAAATTTCACAATTTGATAAGTGTATTATTTATCATTAATTTAAGATTGATAGAAGTTACATACTTAGCTTCAAAACGTAAGTTCCAAAGTTTTTGATTGTCCTGCATTTAGCAGGACAAATATTGGCTAGTATTTATGTCAAACAAGTAAGAGGTTCTAGTCGGGAGCTCCCGACTAGGGGATACCCTGAACCCTCTTCTTCCAACATCAAATGAATATATATACTGTATTTTAGAAGCTATATGTCAAGTTTGGTGACTCTAGCTCTTATTATTTACCAAAATTGCCCAAAAAACAGGATATCGATATCGATTTTTATCGATTGCTTGGAAACGGAGTAAGTTATCGATTATCGGAAACAAACTCGATCTGCGCGGGAACTAGGAGCAACTACATCTAAAATTGTAAGTCTCTAGCTCTTATAGGTTCTGAGATCCTTGCGTTCATACATACGGACGGACGGACGGACGGACAGACAGACGGACATGGCTAGATCGACTCGGCTATTTATGCTGATCAAGGTCGAGGATGCTTCCTTGTGCCTGTTACATACATTTGGCTTTCGCACAAATACAATATACCCTTATACCCATTTTAATGGGTTCAGGGTATAAAAAGTCACTTCAATCAATTGACATATAGAGGAATAGATATGTATATTTTTTTATTGAGCCTCGAACAAGCGAATGCTGTATAATCTTCTACTTACATATGTATATATATATATATATATATATATATATATATATATATCTATATATATATATATATATATATCTATATATATGTATATATATATATATATTTATATATATATAAAATAATACACGTTACGCGTACGCCTGGGAGTACACAAAATCTCTAAATTATAATTGTTATAGCCGCATTTTGTAAACTGTAGCGCTTGGAGCTAATTTGTGGTGATTTGCATTTCGATTTAATTGATTTTGTGCAAACTCGCAACAACTTGCGCGAAATACAATTTGCGTATCATTTTACATTTACATTTGCATTTGCCCACCAGCAAATCCATAACTTTATATTCGGAATTTTGTTGTTCCTGCTGTTGTTGTCGCTGCTATGCAACGCGTTCAGTGGAAATAGCTTGGAATTTTTTTTTAGAAATTGAAATGTTATGGATGGTTTGGTATTGATTGAAAATTAACTAATTTATAAATGATATGACACGTACTGCAAATGCAAATGAAATACAATAATTCTTTTTTCAAAATCCAAGCGTGTATTTTGTAATTAAGCCAGAGATTTTTAGGGTTTTAGTAAAAGAACGTGGCAGACAAATGTTTTACACCGCGACACATAAGCGACAAATTTGATTTTATATTGCAATTGAACAGGTTAAACCTGCATAGTACCTGTGTAAATAACATTAGAGGTGTATGTATATTATAAAGCAGTTTCAGTGCATGGTAAATATATATTCCAACGCGTATGATGTGAGCTTAGCTCCATCATAAATTAGAAATAAGTAATATAGGATGATTACAATTTGGCATTCTACATTATAAAGGTTCGTTGTACGGGTTACTAAGAAAAATATCGCATCTTTTGAAAACGAACAAGAGGTTCTAGTCGGGAGCTCCCGACTAGGGAATACCCTGAACCCTCTTATTCCAACCCCAAATAAATTAAAACAAGTAAAAGGTTCTAGTCGGGAGCTCCCGACTAGGGAATAACCTGAACCCTCTTATTCCAACACCAAATAAATTAAAACAAATAAGAGGTTCTAGTCGGGAGCTCCCGACTAGGGAATACCCTGAACCCTCTTATTCCAACCCCAAATAAATTAAAACAAGTAAAAGGTTCTAGTCGGGAGCTCCCGACTAGGGGATACCCTGAACCCTCTTCCAACATCAAATGCATATATGTATATATTCTATTTTACGAGCTATATGTCAAGTTTGGTGACCATAGCTCTTATTATTTACCGAAATTGCCCAAAAAACAGGATTTCGATATCGGTGTTTATCGATTGCTTGGAAACGGAGTAAGTTATCGATTATCGGAAACAAACTCGATCTGCGCAGGAACTAGGAGCACCTACATCTAAAATTTCAGTCTCTAGCTCTTATAGGTTCTGAGATCCTTGCGTTAATACATACGGACAGACGAACAGACGGACAGACAGACAGACGGACATGGCTAGATCGACTCGGCTATTGGTGCTGATCAAGAATATATATACTTTATGGGGTCGGAGAT